GCATCGAAGAATAATTCGACTTCAGTAACCATCCCAGTTTTATATCTGAGCCCATCAAGAGCTCCAAAGGACGAAAAAGGTGATTAAAATCGAAGCAATACCAACAGTACAAAGAAACGAAAGTTTCACGTTTCCGGATATAAAGGTATTTGGTTTATTATTTTACGGTGTGAATGCAGCTCTGTCTTGCCGTACATACCGTGGTGGAGAGAATGTGTCCTGGGGGTGTTGGGGCAGTGTCAAAGGGCACGCCTAGTCACGGCAATTTATATTGATATATTAGGTTGGTTTATTGGTCAATACGTTTTTGGGGGTTGGAACGTGTGAATTCCCGTAGTTTTCGAAATGTGGGTTGGGTTCCCGTAGAGTTTTTGATTTATTTCGCGTCAGTCCGTAAACTTTCAAAGATGGCGGTTACATCCGTAGAGTTTCATTGGCCGATTTTAAGCGCTTTTTGTGCTAGTTTTACGCATTTTTGATCGTTATTCTTCTTATTTAAGCTTGTTTTACCCCATAATTTCCCTGATATACTTCATGCCCTCCCCTGCTAACGGGACTATCAAATCAAGATCGTCGATGGAGAAATGGTACTCGATCTCCTGAACGATTCATTCGCAAAAGAAACAACGCCGAAAATCGATGAAATCATAGGATTTCATGCAGAAAAACATCATTTTTTTCGACTTAGTCTCTGCGAGGGGGTGTCGCGGTCTTCAACAATTACTGGATAGATATTGTATATACTTAATAAACTGTATATTGCTTAAATGTGTATATTGTTGAATTAGATAATTGATGGGTTTGTAGTTCATAATAGTATTATTCCTTCATATCCTTCTTCACTTGATCCAAAGACCGATAATCTTACTAAGCCTTCTTTTTCTTTCTTTCTTTCTTTTTAACAGCGATCTTTTAGTCCAGATGGCTGTTGGGGAGCCCTGTTAGCAGACCATTTTCAAAGGTGGGTTTAGTGCACGTTATGAAAAAAATAGTTTTTACTTAACCTCATGCTGCTGGGGATGGCATGTGCGTACATGTCATGCCCACAGAGTGTTTGATCTAGTAATTGTTTTTACACATGGCTCCACTAAGTCACAAATGAGCCAATTACGAGAATTTCCAGTCTCACATGTTTACTCTTTTCCTTGATTTTCAAAAATATTTTCTGGTATCTAATGTTACTGTTAGGAATGTCAATAGCATTATAGTAATTATGATGTCTGTAATGGAGATGAAAATATCAGTATTGATAGCATCTGTAAAAAAAGCCGATTTCCCACAAACTCAAGGAAATGAACTCATTTTCCATAGAGCATTGGGTTATTTATAGCTCAGTTATTTTTTTGTTTTGTATATATAATTATTCGTTTTACTTTCAGCATGTATATTTTGTTTCATTATGGCTGTACATTTTTCAACATTTTCATTGATGTTGCAGCATTTTGATAAAAGATTTTTTTACTGAGATAATGAATGTATATCCCTTTATCCATTATTCTGATTATTTTGTTTTTACCTGTTTATTTTTATTGTTATTACTTGGCATCTGCAAAATGTATGATATACACATATATATATAAGGTATTACTGGTATTTTGAATTTTAAAGTATATAGGAGTATGATTTTTTCATTCATTCATTGAAGCAATAGTAGTAACTGTGATCATGTTAACCTAAGTTTTACATTCTTATGCATGGATCTATTATAGTATAAATTTAAAGTTTAAATGATGATGACTTGATGACTCTGGAATGACAGTAATTTGCTGAATTGGTTATTAAAGTTAAATGCTCTCTCTCTCTCTCCCCCCCCCCTCTCTCTCTCTCTTTCTCTTTCTCTTTCCACTACAATCTCACAATATTCCTCCTTTGTCTTTACTTTCTATTCTTCTCTTCCTTCCTTATTTCTTCCTGTATCTTTCCTCCTCCCTTTACATCTTTTCTGCCCTCCTCTCCCCTTTCCTTCTTCTTCACACTTTTTTCTCTCCCTTTTCCAGCTTCATCACATGCTCTCTCAGTCCTTAAATATCTCTCATTCCTTCCAAAACCCAGACGTGCAGATGTAGTAGTCCGCGGCTTCTCGGGCTACAACACTCGCAACTGCTTGGCTCTCCTCCCCTATGTGGCCACAGATCTGAAGGACGTTGTTGGTGCCACAGTGTTCCTCGGTGCCAATGATGCCAGCGCAGAAAACACCCAGCAGGCTGTTCCTCTCGAAGAATACTCGGACAACATGAAGGCCATTGTCAGGCACTTCCAGGTTAGCGGTGGTTTAGAGTGCATTTTTTAATATTTAGTTGAAGGTAGTTTTTTAAAGATTTTTAGTAACCCATTGCTCAATTATTAGTATGATGTGTATTCTCTTTTTATTACCACTTGTAATATTTTGATATTGTTTGAGTTGCTATGTTTTATTTTATTAATATTATTATTATTTTTATTATTATTGTTTTTGGTTATCTGTATTATCATCATTATTGTATCATCATTCTTTATTATT